TTTCCAGGGCTAAAAAGTAGTCTTATACGCCAGAAAATAAGGTACTTCTACTTGTTTGCTTTTCTCATATGCTTCTTCTCCATCTTAATGTGCGTGGGGATGACCTAAGAGACGATGAGCTTCTCCTGTACTCTCTGGTTAGTTCCAGAGCTAAACCCAGGCATATCCGGAGCATGCTGTTGCAACACTGGAACACTTCTGTCCTTTCTGAATCTTTCCAGAACAAAGAGCATCTGTTCTGAAGAGTGAGGAATGGTAGAAGTTTGGTAATAACAGGTAATTTTCTCTGCTGAGGTAAATTTTATGGGTCTCATTTGTGGTGCAGAGCTGTGAGGCGACTTTAATTAAAGGGTGATTTCACCAGTGAGCAGCTCTGATGTCTGAAAGTGATTTTTCTCACCTTGGTTTTTAAAATTGGGATGCTGTCTATGTAATTCTATGCATATGAATGTTGCCTGGAAACATTATTCAGTAAACTCAATAGGACTTACCGTACTTCCAGGACACAGGAATACAATTCTGCTGTAAATGCAGTTTTAAGTATCCTTGACTACTGTTTGTACTGAGACTTCAGTTTTTCAAATATAATATTCAAGAGATTATAGCATAATGATATAAAGCAGGTTACCTGAGTCGGCTTAAAATCAGAAGCGGGCGGCATCCTGATATTATCTGATGCATATAGCTGCCGAAATCGCTGCCCAGGTGCATCCCAGCTCTATCGCTGCTCAAAGGGGTGCTCCTCCCGCCTCTTTTTGAAGCCGGGAGTTTTCTGGGTTGAAAAAAATGGCCGCTGAGCACTGCTCTGAGCGGCAATGGAGCCAGGCTGCAGCCGGGCAGCGATTTTGGGGGCTAAATGCATCTGATAATATCAGGATGCCACCTGCTTCTAATTTTAAGCCAGCTCAGATAAACCAATTTATATTATTATGCGATAATTTTCTCAGTCTGTACTTTACAGTTATTCATAGATATAATGTGCTCAGTTTCTGGATGTACATTGCTGTTTGAGTATTCAAACTTCTTGATTAACAAGCCTCAGAGTTGCTGCTAGATGAAGACTGTGTTGAGAGCAATAGCTGCAGTTTTGGCCATTAAAAATTTGGTGTTTTTATTCACACCTTCTCCCTATGCTCCCTTTCAGTTTCTTTCCCATATATCTTCCACTCTCCTTCAGTTTTTTCTCATTCTCTCCCTGCCCCTCATCTTCAGAATTTCCTGTGGCAGCTTCTTAGGGACAAAATGGGCAGAGCTCTATGCAAGCTGTAGGAGGTTAAATGTTACATGGGGCCCTTTCACACAACACAGTTTGAGTGGTATGATTCCCACTTTAACTACCATAGCACCATCCTAAGTAACCCTGGCATTTGCATTTAACAAGAGGTATTTAAATTTCTCAGCTAGGCAGCTCTATACCTCGCCAAATTATGTGGATTCCATAGGATGCAGTTGTGACAGTAAAAGTGCAAACCCTCCACATGCCCTAGTTTGTCAGGGACAGCCCCAGTTCATATTTTGTCCAGTTTCACTCCCCTCGCCTTTTCCTTTCTGGTTGATTTACTTCAGTGACTGCAAACAGAGTCCCAAGTGCTGAAGGATGCTTTATTAACTCAGCAAAAGTGAGGAGATGGGGGGGGGGGGAGTGGAATCATTCCTTTTTTAAAACTAAGTGCATGCATTCCCTGGGGATTTCTCTTCTTAAAATAATCATTTTGTGTGCTTTTCCACATTAATAAATGTGGTCCTCTTGGTGCCTGGCCACACCTTTTTGAGCAGACTGTGACCTACCTTGGCCAGACATTATCCAGTTTTCATTTGTGAAATACTGGATTTTATGAAAGTTGAATCATAATGCTGTAATTGTGTAGTGTGAAAGTGCCCATGATTACATAAAGTGAGGGAACATGTGTCAATAAATGTAAACAGACATAACTTCTTCCTTTTACCCAGGTACAGCTATACACTTGATCTGTACTCTGGATATGAGGATTTTTGTCGCTGGATACAAATTGGGAATCAATGTGGGTACAGTTAGCCTTCCATATCCACAGATTTTTTTATCCACAGATTCAACCATCCACAGCTTGAAAATATTTCAAAAATAGATAAACTCCAAAAAGCAACATTTGATTTTGCCATTTTATATATGGGACACTATTTTACTATGCCATTGTATTTAATGGGATTTGAGTGTCCATAGATTTTGGTATCCATGGGGGGTCTGGGAACCAAACCAGCAGATACCAAGCACCCACTGTACAGTGATTCTCGGGAACATCTGGACTTACGTAGGTACACTGTAATGCACAAACACTCCTTTTATTGTTTTAAAATACCGTATTTTCCGGCGTATAAGACAACCGGGCGTATAAGACAA